CATACACTGTTGGTGGGAATGCAAACTGGTACAGCCACTATGGAAAACAGTATGGAGATTTCTCAAAAAGTTAAAAATAGAAATACCCTATGACCCAGCCATCCCATTACTGGTTATCTATCCTAAGAACCTGAAATCAGAAATCTCAAGAGTCCGTTGCACCCCTATGTTCATTGCAGCATTATTTACAATAGCCAAGATGTGGAACCAACCTACATGCCCAGAAACTGATGATTGGATAAAGAAGATGTGGTATATATACACAATGGAATACTACTCAGCCATAAAAAAAGACAAAATTGGCCCATTCACAGCAACGTGGATGGACCTCGAGGGTATTATGTTAAGCGAAATAAGCCAGTCAGAGAAAGACGAACTCTGTATGACTCCACTCATACGTGGAAGGTAGTATATTGATAAGGAGATCTGATCGGTGGTTACCAGGGAAAAGGAGGGGTGGGGGGAGGGCACAAAGGGGGAAGTGGTGTACCCACAACATGACTAACAATAATGTACAACTTAAATCTCACAAGGTTGTAATCTATCATAACATTAATAAAAAAAAAAATTCTAAAAACTTATTTTCAAATTTGTACTGTAATGAACTGATAACAAGTTGTTTGTGGTCAGCACCTATTTGCAGACCACACTTCTGAGTAGCACAGCACCAGAACAAGTTTGTCATTCTGTAGCCAGCAGTTAAGATGTGAAGGCTAGAAGAAATATTCTTCTCTTTGGTTGTTAAGGAGAAGCCACTTCAAAGCTCTTGTCACAGAATCCAGGCTGAATTCCTGTAGGATTATTAATTCATAAAACCGTTTTGTTGTTAATACCAGTAAAACTTAATTAGTGCTCACTTTGCAGGAATGAGCCTTTTTTCAGTGGACTCAACAAGACATCACAATCCCCATGTTGTGTCTATGTCCTTAAATTAGAAGTCTCTCTTTAATAGCTGTTTATTTGCTTATATGTTGGTATGTGAAATGAAAATTTCAGTGAAGTTTAAATTTTACAGATTCATAAACATTTTGTCTCAGTCAATACTGCTATATTGTATCTGATACTTTTATGAAAATGTATTGATCATTTTGCATTTTTCTTTGTTTTAGTACGTTGATTATTTTGTTGTTTATATATCTAGCATGGTAGGAGGGTCATTACAAATGACAACTGGAGTTTGGGATCTGGGTGCACAAGGAGATATAAAACTGAAAGCAAAAGCCATTAAATTCAAGAAAATCTGTCTCAGCTTCCACTGGTGAATTCTAGCCAGAGTTGGTGTTAATTTTAATGCTTGCCAACACCTTGATCTTCAAGTCATTTTGTTTTAGAGATCTAGAAGTATATACTAAATTAAGCTCTGTTGGGTATGACTTTGTATGCTCAGGACAAGCTCTGTTAATCTGTTATCCCTGACTTGGGCAGTTTGAATGAGCCAGATCCCTCCTGTGTTTGATCTAGTCTACTTTTTTATACAGATTAATTTAGGAAGTACTTTTAACCTTCATAGTATCACCAGATATTCTACTGACAATGTATAAAATGCTAGAAAATCACTAGCCTGTATTTTGAAACACAAGAATATTTCTCAATTTACCATATTGAGATACTATCTCAGAAAAAGGGCAGCATTTTCATTAAATACATTTCTAAGTGGTTAATAATGTAAATTTCTTTTTCAGGATTTATGACTTATATTTTGGTTTAAGGGCAGCAGCAATCACTATTAACATGGAGTTAGCCAAAATGTAGAGAGAGTTTCAGAATAACAAATTGTGTGTGTGTGTCACAGTGTGTATATAGATAGAGATACAGCGTTATGCATGTATGTTTATAGATGTAATTAACAGGCAATAGTGAAGTTTTAAAAGAACTGCATGTTCGTATTTCGTTATGGATATATTTGCAGATAAGTGGATCAGTTCTTCCAAAACACTGATCAGTCCATTTTTATAACTGAACGTTTGTATATATAGATGAATAACCTAAAAATAAAAGAAGAGGGAAGTTATTACCAGCACAAACTCTTATTCCTTTTCTACTATTTCCTACACTCTCATCATATCAATAAAGAACATAAGCATACACAAAAGTTTGTGTCATACCTGCTTTTCAGAGGACTGAAACAGAAGTTTGACAATACTTAAGATTTATAAGTACAAGTGAACATTTAAAAGTAGATTAACACTGTGACTAGGAAAAATAGGTCAATTAGAAGTTCACAAAATACATTTTTACTGAATTTAGTGAGTTTGGTAGGATCAGTCTGTTTTTCAGGGGTTAGAGATTATGCCATTCAGTGAGGTGAGGAACACAGACATAGGACCATCTTTGGGGTAAAGATCATGAATTGATTGTGAACATTTAAGGCACCTTTGACACATCTAAGTAAAGGTATTAAGGAAGCAATCGTATATACAGAACTCGTGGTCAGAAGAGAGGTCTGGTAGACTTGATTCTGTGCCCTCACTAAAGTGTGTGTATTTGAGGGTGGGGAGAGGGGTTGTTGAAGACACTGCTTAAATCTTTCCTGCTGGTAATTAGAATGCTGCTGTTTTTAAGTGGAGAATATTAATGAGCTAAGCTATAGGGATGCTGAGGCAGAGAAAGTTATGTTGCAGACTGAGAAGAAAACTTTATTTCTATAAAATAATTTCTCTCTTTCTTTTTAAGTTATGCCTGGATTGTCATACATAAATATTGACTAGTTTATTTCCTTCATCCGTTTCTCTTACCAATTTGTAATCTTATGGATAAAGGTCTGATTCATAGGTGAATGCTAAATCTTTCTTTATTTCATAGCCATGAAGCTCATGACTGCCCTGGTGAATGTTGCCTTAAACCTCAGTATTCATCAGGATAATACACAGAGACAATATGAAGCTGAGAGAAATAAAATGATTGGGAAGAGGGCCAATGAAAGGTTGGAGTTACTGCTTCAGAAACGCAAAGAAGTAAGTTTTATGGTAACTGAGATTCTCACGTCCTGTAAATGTGTAGTAAATATATATAATATTAGTTTTTTATTCTTTGTAAAAAGGTTTATGTATATTTTTAAAATTTATTTTTTCAGTTATATTATTTGATCTCAGAGTTTTCAAATGAAACTAGAATGTTCACCCAGAGATTATCTGAGTGCTGTCTGATGGCACAACAATCCTACTTTTGAAAGAAGGTGGTCTGGGAGTTAGGTAACTCAGAAAGATTATCAGGCTGTGGGCTCAAAAAGCATGACAAATACTAATGTCAGAACTGGGGGCTAGCAAAGCTCCATTTCCAGGAGAAAGCCAGAGACTAGTTATTAGTTGATAATAAGGCATTATTCTGAATAAGATTGATCCTAGTTTTATGATAAAATTTTCTTACATGTCTTGAAAGTGATTTTAAACTAGGTTTTTAGTAGGTAACATTTTTATTCACCCAATTGGAAATAAAGTTTTAGATCTGCCATATTAGTCTTGGAAAAAGAATTTTAACTTGGAAACAGAATAATATCACATTGCTACAAGTAAATTGCTTTCAATGAATAATGTGTTATAACAGGCAACCAGAAGCAACATACTTATGATTAAATTATTACCCATACTATATTAGCATCCTAGGGCTGCTATAACAGATACCACAAACTGAGTAGCTTTAAGAACAGAAATTTACTATCTCATAGTTCTATAGGCTACAAGTCAAAGATAACTCCAGTCTTCACATGGCCTTCTCCGTGTGTGTGTGTGTGTGTGTGTGTGTGTGAGTCTATCTCTAAATTTCTCCTTTTTTTCAATAAAGACACCAGTCATATTGGATTTGGGACCCACCCTACTTCAGTCTAACCATCTTAACTAATTCCATCTGCCACAACCTGTTTCCAAATAAGGTTTGAGGTACTAGGTGTTAGGACTTCAGCATATGAATTTTTTTTTTTTTTTTTAAAGATTTCATTTTTAAAAAATCCTTTTTCTCCCCAAAGCCCCCCGGTACATAGTTGTGTATTCTTCATTGTGGGTTCCTCTAGTTGTGGCATGTGGGACGCTGCCTCAGCGTGGTCTGACGAGCAGTGCCATGTCCGCGCCCAGGATTCGAACCAACGAAACACTGGGCCGCCTGCAGCGGAGCGCGCGAACTTAACCACTCGGCCACGGGGCCAGCCCCGGCATATGAATTTTTGAGGAGCACAGTTCAATTCATAACATATACTATATTTAAAATATTACAGAAGTAAATTTTGGAACTGTGCTTCATTAAGTACTGCTATCCAAACTGTATGCCTCTTATAAATTAGTTAATTTTTATATAATAAACTTAGCAAAAGTAATTTTTAAAACTTATAGTAAGTTACAGTAATTTGAATGATTTACTATAGAAGTATTCCTGAATTTATTTCACTAAAACCTGAAACAAGGCATATAGCAAAAGAATAAATCTGAAGGAATTTTATTGTCACAATTGAGTATGCAGTAAAAGCAAATATTTCACTATTACTGCAGAACAAATTAGAATAAGAAATATCACCTTGAATGTAATTTTTTTTTCTTTTTCTGCAGGGGAAGATTCTCCCTAAGCTAACGTCTGTTGCCAATCTTCCTCCTTTTTTCTTCCTTTTTCGCCCCCAAAGCCCCAGTACATAGTTATGTATGTAATTTTTTATCAGGGCTTTTATTCCTTTGGGGGCAGTGAATAAACTCAAAGTCAACTCTGGTCAGTAGTGTTGCCTGAAATTTGTATCTTTGCTATAGTATTTTATTTTGTTGCTGCATTCCACCACTAATGGCTGGATCCTTGCTATCTTCAGTTATGCCTCCTATGTTGGGAACTCGCCCTACTCTGTTATGGGCTAATCAGATGCAGAGCAATATTTGGATCCTTTAGGTGGAATAGGAAGTTTCTTGTATAGTGGCAAATATGATAAGCAAGAATGCTCTGTTACCAAGAAAGGCAAAACCAAGCCAGGGAACTGATGTGGATAGAAGAGGTATAGGAATTGAGGTCTATACCCAAAGGAGATAGGAATTGGGCCATACTTAGCCAGTACCCCTCCTTGTTAGACATTGTGTAGTTTGTGTCGAGAGAGACAGAAAGAAAAGTTCAAAAGCCACTGTAGTAAAACTTTAGAAATGATGCGAGAAAACTGGTTTCAGACATCTGCTGTATTACAGGTGAGAAAAAGGAGTGATAATTACCCAGAATGAGAATAGTGAGGAATTAAAAACAGAACTGTTCATTCCGAATAAAATAATCGCTGTTTTAATTTATGTATTTTATTTTTTTTTCATTTCAGCTACAAGAAAATCAAGATGAAATTGAAAATATGATGAACTCTATTTTTAAGGGTATATTTGTTCATAGATACCGGTAAGGGATTTAAAAAATCGCTTAGATGATTTTTAACTTAAATAATTTATTGCTTGTTAATCGTAGCTAATTATAAAGGTATATGACTCTAATTTTTTGTTTTCTTTTCTGTAAAACGGCTTTGGCTATAAAAGCTTAATAAATATCATGCTATTACTATGGAGGAAATCATACCACTGCCACACTGTTCTAAATTCAGAACATATGCTGTTAGAAGCATCCAATGTACTTTGATTTGTACTGATGGAATATTAGTTAATAAGATATCATTAATTTAACGTGTCCTTAATAGGATGTGATTTTCTTGATATTTGAGAATATTAAAATGCCCTGCTTCCTGCCTTGTGGCACTTATCTTGTTCCACGGTTGAATTGACCAACAGTCTTTTTAAAACACCTCTGTGAAGATGGGAGAAAAATGGACAGAAAAGGGCACCTCTGCAGATAATGCAACAACTCTGTAACATCATTTTTTTTACCTTCAACTGTGCACATGAAAGTAGAAGCAAAGTATTTCCAAAGTATTTTTGTCATACTCCATTGCAGATGAGTTTAGTGTTTCTGTGAAACCTGTGAACTTTTAAACTATTAACCACGTTATTAAAGAGCATATTTCACAGAGAATTAACGAGTCCTATACATACATTTGTTACCTTCTTTTAATCAGGCATGGTATGGTATGTTTAGGTAGATAGTCACAGGTAATAGAAGCAATGTGTTGAGACATATTTGAGACTTTAGTTGTCCAGGTTATTCAAAAAGTTAGTGAAAACAGGGAAATCGTTTCGAAAGAAAAAATGCAACTTTGATGTTTTAACTTAAACATTTTGTTTTAATTCAAGGTAAAAAAGGTCTTTTGAAATAAAGCCAAGGTCTTTACTTTGAGTATGGACTGTCTAATTGGAGTTTCACATCCTCTTTCTTGCTTAAACTATACATATAAGGAATTATTGACAAGTTTGTTTGAAAAACAAGAACTTCCATATACCTGCCAAGCAGTCTTTTTTTAAATTGTAACTTTATGCATGTATAATTAACATAAAATAAACTGTAAATTTAAATGCATAATTTGATGAGTTTTGACATATATATGCTAGTAGAACTACCACAGGCAAGATAATGAATATATCCATCATACTCAAAAATTTTCTCATGCCACTTTGTAATTCCTCCCTACCTGCCTTCCTGCCACTGTCCTCCCTTGGGCAGTTATTAATCTGCTAACTGATTTGTTTACACTTTCTAGAATTTTAGAGAAATAGAATCATACAATATGTACTTCTGACTTTTGTTACTGTTGTTGTTTTGGTCTGGCTTCTTTCACTAAGCAAAATTAGGGTTTTTCATTATTAAGACTGTTAACCGTAAGTTTTTCATAGATACCTTTTTTCAGGTTGAGGAAGTGTTTCTTCTATTCCTGGTTTTCTGAGACTTTTTATTAGGCATAAATGTTGGATTTTGTCAGATGCTTTTCTACATCTATTGAGATCATTATGCTGTTTTTCTTTTATAAGACTGTTAATGTGGTGAATTCAGTTGGTTGATTCTCAAATGTTAAACTCAACCTTAAATTCTTTAGTTAAAACACAGACACAACATACTGTCTTTTTAGGTATTGTTGGACATGATTTGCTGAAATTTCTCTAAGAATTTTTGCGTCTGTGTTCAAGAGGGATATGTATCTTTTTTTATTTTATTAAATGTCTCTGACTACTTTTTGGTACCAGGGTAATGCTGGCTTTGTAGAATGAGTTGCAATATATTCTTTCCTCTTTAATTTTCTGGAAAAGTTTAATAGAGTATTATTTCTTCTTCAGATATAAATTATACCATTGGGGCCTAGAGCTTTCTTTGTAGGGATGTTTTTAACTACAAGTTAAATTTCTTTAGTAGAGATAAGACTGATCAATTTATGTCTTGAAAGAAAATATCTTCATCTAAGTTGTTGAATTCTCTTCAACAAGTTCAGCATAAAGTTGTTCATCGCTATCTCTCTGTCATCAGTGTGTCTAGAGCTAATCAATTGTGTTTATTTTTCTTAAATGAAATTTTGGTTACATTGAACTTCTCTATTGTTTTTCTGCTTTGTTTCATTGATTTCTACTCTTTTCTTTATTATTTCCTTTCTTCTGCTTACTTTGGGTTTCACTTCCTCTCTTCTTTAGTTTCTCAAGGTGGAAACTGAGATAATTGATTTGAGGCCTTTCTTTTTTTCTAATATAGTAATTTATTTCTATAAATTTCTCTATTATTATTGCTTTAGCTATATCCTCTAAATCTGGATATTTCCATTTTCATTAAATTTAAAATACTTTCTAATTTCCCTTTTGACTTGTTTCTGTGACCCATGGATTATTTAGATGTGTGATATTTAGTTTGTAAATATCTGAGAACTTTCCAGATAACTTTCTGTTACTGATTTATAGTTTAATTCCATTGTAGTCACACAACATACTTTATATGATTTGAATGCTTATAAACTTAGTGAAATTTGTTTTATGGCCCACAGTATAGTCTATCTTGATAAATGTTCTATTTGCTCAGAGAAAGAATATGTATTCTACTTTTGTTTTTATGTTAGTTAGGTCAAAATTGGTTGATAGTGTTGTTCGAGTCTTTTCTATCCTTATTGATTTTCTGTCTGTTCTAACAATTATCGAGAGAGATTTTATAGGAGTACTTTTTGTATTCTTGATACAAGTCTATTATCACATAAATGATTTGCAGTTTTTTTCTGCAGCTTTCTATTAATTTGCTTATTGATGCCTTTTGAGGAACAAAAGTTTTCAATTTGAATGAAGTAATTTATCAGTTTTTCTTCTCTGGTCATGCCTTTGGTGTCTTGTCTGTGAACATTTTGCCTAACTCTAAATTTTCTTCTGTTTTATTCTAGAGGGTTTAATCATTTCATCTTTTCGATTAAGGTATATGAACCTGTTTTTTCTTTTTTGAGGAAGATTAGCCCTGAGCTAACATCTGCTGCCAAGCCTCCTCTTTTTGCTGAGGAAGACTGCCCCTGAGCTCACATCCATGCCCATCTTCCTCTACTTTATAGTGGGACGCCTGCCACAGCATGGCTTCCCAAGCGGTGCCATGTCCGCACCCAGGATCCTAACCGGCGAACCCTGGGCTACTGAAGCAGAACATACACACTTAACTGCTGCACCACCAGGCCTGCCCCATGAACGTTTTTTTTAAGGATTGGTACCTGAGCTAACATATATTGCCAGTAGTCTATTTTTTTTTCCCCTTCTTCTCTCCAAAGCCCCCCAGTACGTAGTTGTATATTTCTAGTTGTAGGTCCTTTTGACTCTGCTATGCGGATGCCCCCTCAGCATGGCTTCATGAGCGGTGCTAGGTCCATGCCCAGGATCTGAACTGGTGAAACACTGGGCTGCAGAAGCAGAGTGCTAACTTAACCACTCAGCCACGGGACTGGCCCCTATGAACCATTCTTTTAAGTTAATTTTTGTGTATGATACAGTATAAGGGTATAAGTCCACTTTTTGCATATAGGTATTCATTTGTCCAAGCACCATTTGGTGAAAGACTATCCTTCTCCAATCAAATTGCCTTGGCGCTTTTGTTGAAAATTAAATGACCATAAATGCAAAGTTTTATTTTTGGATTTTCTAGTCTATCTATTCTTACATTCATACCACTCATATTGATTACAATAGTTTTAGAGTGGTTTTTTTTAAGCTTTATTGAGATATAATTAACATAACATATGTAGGTATAAGATGTACAACGTGATGATTTGATATTGTGAGATGACTACCACAATAAAGTTAACACCTCCATCACCTTACGTAATTACCTTTTTGTGTCTGTGTGGTGCTAACATTTAAGATTTACTCTGTTAGCAGCTTTCAACTATGTCATATAGTATTGTTAACTGTAGTCACCATGCTGTTATTATTAGATCTCCAGAACTTGTTTATCTTATAACTGGAGGTTTATACTCTTTGACCAGCATCTCCCCATTTCCCCTACCCTCCAGCCTCTGGCAACCACCATTCCACTCATTCTACTCTGTATTTTGGCTTTTATAGATTCCACATATAAGTGCGAACAGACAGTATTTGTCTTTTAGAGTAAGTTCTTAAAAGTAGATAGTGTTAAGTCCTCCTACTTTATTCTTTTTCAAAGTTGTGATTATTACAAGTCCTTTGCATTTCTGTATAAATTCTAGGATCAGCTTGTCAATTTTTACACAAAAACTTGCTGGAATTTTGATGGAGAATATAATGAATCTGTAGACTAATTTGGAGAAAATTGCCCTCTTAACAATATTGAATCTTCCAGTCTATAAATATAGATTGTTTCTCTATTTATTTAGATACTCTTTAATTTCTATTAGCAACTTTTTATGATTTGCAGTATACAAGTCTTATACTACTTTTGTTAAATTTATTTCTAAGTGTTTTCATTTTTTATGCTGTTGTAAATGTAATTGTTTTCTTAATTTCTGTTCTACACTATTCTTTATTAATATATGAAAACAGTTTTTTGTTACCGCAGAATTACAAAATATTTTCATTAGTTCTATAGTTTTTGGGTTGTTGGTGTGTTTTTTTTGTAGATTCTTTGGATTTTCTACATACAGGATCATGTCATCTGTAAATAAAGACAGTTTTAATTCTTTCTGTCTATGTCTTTAATTTCTGGGGGTTTTTTTTGCCGTATTGTACTGTCTAAAATCTCTAGTACAGTATTTAAAAAAGTGGTGAGAGAAGATAGGTTTGCTTTGTTCCTGATCTTAAGAGGAAAACAATCTGTCTTTAAGATTAAATAGGATGTCATTAGGTGTAAATTGTATGTTCATACCCTGTAGTAGGATGAGGAAATTTCCCTCTAGCATAATTTGTTGGGTGTTTTTATGATGATTGATTGACTTTCTTTTTTTTTTTCGTTTTGGCTGAAATGATTATACAGGCTTTTTCCTTTATTCTATTAATATAGTGTATTAATTCATTGATTTTCAGGTATTAGACCAA